CCCAGCGCGGAAATCCGAGGCTGCCAGGCTCCTCCCAGTCACGTCCGCGATTTCAAACCAGCATCCCGAGACCGTCTGGGGAGGGCGGGGGGCGGAGGCCGTGGGCCCGCGGGCCCCCCTGGAGGCGGACCAGGCAGGGACTGTACTTGACTGAGCGCCTGCTCTGTGCCAGGCTCGGGTCAGGGTGAGTCCCTGCCTGCGGGGGGAGGGGGATCTTGCAAACAAATGAGAGAATTTGAGGGACTGGTAAGGGCTGCAAAGATGAAATAGGTAATGTAAGTTCAAAAAAAATTTTGACTTCCACTGCTGAAGTGTTTAAAAGACAGGGTTTATTAACAAAATAAATAAATAGATAAATTGATAAGTAAATAAAATAAGGCCATTCTTTGGGCATGGCGTCTAAACCACCAGCAGCATGTCCGTCCTACTGGAGTTTTGCAAATGTTTGTTTGCTTTGCTTTAATTCATTTTTTTTATTTTTTGAGAGAGGAAGGGGTAGAGAGAGAGAAATCTAGATTTGTTGTTCCGCTCATTTATGCATTCGTTGGTTGATTCTTTTTTTATTTTATATGCTTTTATTGATTTCAGAGAAGAGGAAGGGAGAGGGAGAGACAGAAACATCAATGATAAGAGAATCATGGCTAGGCTGCCTCCTGCACCCCCTACTGGGGATGGAACTTGCAACGCCGGCTTGTGCACTGACCGGAATCCGTCCGCAACCTCCTGGTTCAAGTCCCGGCTCAACCACCCTGCTACACGCGCTGGGCTCCTTGGTTGATTCTTGCATGTGCCCTTACCAAGGATCCAACCTGCAACCTTGGCATATGGGGCCGATGCTCTGACCAAATGAGCAACCCGGCCAGGGCTTGCAAGCCTTTTTATACATGAAGTGTGTGTGTGTGTGTGTGTGTGTGTGTGTGTGTGTGTGTTTGCAAGAGTGGAAGCAGAAGACCAGTAAATTATTCACAGAAGAGAGATGGACATTAGCTATAGACAGAGGGATGGGAGAAGGTGAAACGGGCTAATTGCAAGGAAGAAGTGTCTAAACGCCAAGGCAGTGAAGGGCCCCCCGGCCACAGGTGGAATTAAGAAATCTGGCAACAAGTGAGCTGTTCCTTGTGCCTGGGGCAATGATGATCCTTCATTCCATTCCTGTTTTAACATCTGGGTTATCTGTCATAACATCTCTTGCCACCTATAGCTAGAATAAAGTGTTGTCTTGGAGCCGGTTGTACATTGAATAAGCTTTTGTGATTGTTTAAGTGTCTGTTCCTGTGGATTAACTGTGGGCAGCAGATTGGAAGTTCATGTGCAAACAAGCAGAGTCTTCCAGGTTCTCCTGCATCTGACTATTGTCTCTTCGGGATAATCGGAGAAATAGACAACTAGAAATTAATCCTAAATTCCAACAGGTATACAGGAATGTGAGCAGTCTTTTGTCAGAGCTGGCCCACAGTTGTTAACAGGCTAATTTCTGTCTCTCGTGTTCTATCATGTGGTAGAAGGTGCGGGTAGCCTTAGGAAGTCAGTAGGTGAGGAGGTAGCCACCAGCCAGCTACAAGTGGCTGTAGAGCACTTGAAATGTGACCAGTCTAAATTGAGATGTGATGTGTGAAACACACTCACTGGAATTCAAAGGTTTAGAATGAAAAGAATGCAGAATATCTCACTGATAACTTTATGTTAATTGTGTTATATTGACATTTAAATAAAATGTTATAATTTCGCCCTAACCGGTTTGGCTCAGCGGATAGAGCGTCAGCCTGCGGACTCAAGGGTCCCGGGTTCGATTCTGGTCAAGGGCATGTACCTTGGTTGTGGGCACATCCCCAGTGGGGAGTGTGCAGGAGGCAGCTGATCAATGTTTCTCTCTCATTGATGTTTCTAACTCTCTATCCCTCTCCCTTCCTCTCTGTAAAAAATCAATAAAATATATTTTTTAAAAAATGTTATAATTTCATCTACTTTTTAAAAAATGTTTTTATTGACCTTTAAAGAGAGGGGAAGTGAGAGGGAAACATCATGAGAGAGAAACATCATTGATAGGCTGCCTCCTGCACCCCCCCCACTGGGGATCAAGCCCATAGCCCAGGCATGTGCCCTGACCAGGAATCAAACCAGTGACCACTTGGTTCGTGGGTCGATGCTCAACCACTGAGTCGCACTGGCTGGGCTCATCTGCTTCTTTACTTCTCTGATGTAGCTATGAGAAAATTGTAAATTACCCACGTGGCTCACTTAATAGTTGTGTGGACAGCACGGGTCTAGACCTGTACATTTACTAAGCAACCATCCTTTTTGCCAACACCGTGCTCATTTAATGAACATTTATTGAGCCAACGGCTAATGCAGTGACCTAGTACAAAGATGAATAAGACATAACCTGGGAATTCAACTAGCCTCATTGCTATCTTACAGGGTGGTTCTGAGGATCGAATGAGTTAATATCATTAAAGAAACTAGAGGAAGGCAAGTGGACAGATGTCAGAAGACCTTCTCTCCATGCTATGAAGTTTAGACTTATATACTGACTAGAGGCCCAGTGCACGAAATTCGTGCGGGGGGGGGGGGGCGGGAAAGGTATGTCCCTCAGCCCAGCCTGCACCCTCTCCAATCTGGGACCCCTCAAGGGATGTCCAACTGCCAATTTAGGGATGTCCGACTGCCCGGTGTGAGATCAGGCCTAAATGGGCAGTCAGACATCCCTCTCACAATTCAGGACTGCTGGCTCCCAACCGCTCGCCTGCCTGCCTGCCGCCTGCCACTCACTCCCCTGCCAGCCTGATCAACACCTAACTGCTCCCCTGCTGGCCTGGTCCCTCCCAACTGCCCTCCCCTACTGGCCTCCTCCCCCCCAACGGCCTTCCCCCTGCTGGCCTGGTCCTCTCTTGCCGCCCTCCCCCTGTAGGCCTGATCTTCCCCAACTGCCCCCTGCTGCTGGCCATCTTGTGTTGGAGTGATGGTCAATTTGCATATTACTCTTTCATTAGATAGGAAGACTTTGGGAAGCCACTTCAGGAATTCGTTAGTGGGGGAGAGGGAGGTGAAATGATCCCTTGCCTAGAATGCTTCCCCCCTCATCTAGAGATCTCCGTTTTGTCATTCAACTCTGAGCTTGGCAGTTCTAGTCTTCTCTTCAGCAAGACCTTTCCTGACCTCCCAGTCTAAAGTAGCTCCCCAGCCCAACCGGTGTGGCTCAGTGGTTGAGTGTCAACCTATGGACCAGGTCATAGTTCAATTCCCGGGCACATGCCTGGGTTGCAGACTCAAGCCTCAGTGTGGGGCGTGCAGGAGGCAGCCAATCAATGTTTCTATCTCATCGTTGATGTTTCTCTTTCTCTCTCCCCCACTTCCTTCACATGAAAACTACCACTGATTTTTCATCTTGCTTATTTATGCATTTGTAGGATTCAAGTGTGCGAAAGCAGGAATTTCATTTGCTGTATCCCTAAACTTAAAACAGTGCCTGGCCATGCTGTAGGATATGTGTTTTAGAAATATCCCTGGTGGCAGTTAAGAATGGATTTCTAGAAAAGCAAGACAAGAAATAATGGAAAAGAAACACGACTTAAGTGATTATATCTCAATTTTTATTTTTTTTTTATTTTTTTTTTTTAAATATATTAACTTAAGTGATTATATCTCAATTTTTATATTTAGTTTGCAATGGACAATCCAAGATTGATTCTCAGTAGGCTGTTGTATATTCAGATCAAGAGTTGAAGGAAGATGAAGGGGAATGACATCAAAGTACTAGGTATCAGAAGCTGTGAAAGTTGGTAAGATCACTCAGCAAAAATGAAGAGTGAGAAGCACAGGAGGGAGGTTAAACCTAGGGAATAGCAACGTTAAACATGTCTGAAAACTTGAGACATGCCCGAGAAAATAGACAAATAGGACAAATGACTAATGGGAAAACTCAAACATCTGCTCATGCTTGGTTTGGTGGCATTTTCGTGCTCCAGGCAAGCAACAGGTTGCTATTTACCTTGAGGTCCAAATCAAATGGCAATTCTGCCTTCACTTTCATCAAATCTACGCTGCCACACAGGGATTTTCCTCTCTCTCCATCCAAGCTTTGTGATGAAAGAGTGAGAAGGGCTTTCAAAGGAAAATTCTGAAGACCATTTACACTTTTAACTTTTGTGCCTCAGTCTCGCCCTGGTCCTACCCGACCACAGGAAAAAAGATATCTTAGCAGCTTCCAGCCTCTCTCTCTCTCTCTCTCTCTCTTTCTCTCTCTCTCTCTCTCCTCCTCAACAAAAGATGTGCCCACAGGCTGCGGACTTCTCTGCCACCACCACCCTGCCTTTCCCAGCCATGTGCTGAAGGCTCCTTCGTCATTGAGTCCTGGAATGATAAAGCTGGAAGGGGCAAAACACATTCTCTATCCCTCATTGAATCATGTGTGTCTGCAGTTGGCTGTCTTGTGGAGATACCTAGAAACAAAGCAAATGAAGGCAGCAGAGAAAAATTTGCATTTACTTTTTATTAGTCTCTAATTGAGCTTAAAGAAGAAAA